CTCTTGTCACTGAGGATAAATCCTTTTTCTCTCCTCTTCAGATCAGATGGTTTCTACTGATCTGTCTCCAGGTTCGCTGATCCTATGTCTTCCGTATCAAACATTCTGCTAGTCTCATCCACTGATTTTATTATGATTGAGGAAAAACTGACATGTAGCATAATACGACTTTCCGGTGTGCAGCGTGAGCATTCAGTATTTGTATCCACTGTGACGGAATCACCGCAGTAAGTCTGTCTAGTTACCATCTGTCACTGTACCAAAGTTACTTTTTTTATTTTTATTTTTTTCTTGTGATGAGAACTCTTAAGGTTTACTCTCTTGGCAACTTTTAAATATGCAATACTACAATAGCACTGACTGTAATTTCCATGCGTACATATATCCTTGTGGCTTATTTATTTTATAACTAGAAGGCTGTATCACTTCAACTCCTTTACTCATTTCTTATACCCCTGCCCCCTTCCTTTCTGGAAATCACCAATCTGTGTTCTGTACCTTTGAAATTTGTTTTATTTGTTCATTTGGTTTTTAGATTGTATGTATAGAGGAACCAGAGATCAAATTGCCAACATCTGCTGGATCATCGAAAAAGCAAGAGAATTCCAGAAAAACATCTATTTCTGCTTTATTGACTATGCCAAAGCCTTTGAATGTGTGGATCACAATAAACTGTGGAAAATTCTGAAAGACATGGGAATACCACACCACCTGACCTGCCTCTTGAGAAATCTGTATGCAGGTCAGGAAGCAACAGTTAGAACTGGACATGGAACAACAGACTCCTTCAAGGCTGTATATTGTCATCCTGCTTATTTAACTTATATGCAGAGTACATCTTGAGAAACGCTGGGCTGGAAGAAGCACAAGCTGGAATCAAGATTGCTGGGAGAAATATCAATAACCTCAGATATGCAGATGACACCACCCTTATGGCAGAAAGTGAAGAAGAATTAAAGAGCCACTTGATGAAAGTGAAAGAAGAGTGAAAAAGTTGGCTTAAAGCTCAACATTCAGAAAACTAAGATCATGGCATCCAGTCCCATCACTTCATGACAAATAGATGGAGAAACAGTGGAAACAGTGGCAGACTTTATTTTTCTGGGCTCCAAAATCACTTCAGATGGTGACTGCAGCCATGAAATTAAAAGACGCTTACTCCTTAGAAGAAAAGTTATGACCAACTTAGACAGCATATTAAAAAGCAGAGACATTACTTTGCCAACAAAGGTTCATCTAGTCAAGGCTATGGTTTTTCCAGTGGTCAGGTGTAGATGTGAGAGTTGGACTGTGAAGAAAGCTGAGAGCCGAAGAACTGATGTTTTTGAACTGTGGTGTTGGAGAAGACTCTTGAGAGTCCCTTGGACTGCAAGGAGATCCAACCAGTCCATCCTGAAGGAGATCAGTCCTGGGTGTTCATTGGAAGGACTGATGTTGAAGCTGAAACTCCAATACTTCGGCCACCTGATGCGAAGAGCTGACTCATTTGAAAAAACACTGATGCTGGGAAAGACTGAGGGCAGGAGGAGAAGGGGACGACAGAGGATGAGATGGTTGGATGGCATCACCGACTCGATGGACATGAGTTTGAGTCAACTCTGGGAGCTGGTGATGGACAGGGAAGCCCGGCGTGCCGCAGTCCATGAGGTTGCAAAGAGTCAGACACGACTGAGTGACTGAACTGAACTGATAAATGTGGTCACGTGGTATTTGTCTTCGCTCCGTCTGATTTCATTTAGTAAAATACCCTCAAGATCCATCTATTTTTTCCCAAATGGCAAGATTTCCTTTTTAATGACCAATATTTCATTTTTAATATATGCCACATCTGCTGAGTGGCACTTCGGTTGCTTCCCTATCTTGACTACAGTAATAATGCTGTGATGAACACAGGGGTGCATTTACCTTTTTGAAGTAATGTTTTTTTCCAGATAAATACCCAAATGTGGAATTGCTTGATCATATGGTAGTTCTGTTTTCTAATTTTCTGAGGTACTTCTGTTCTGTTTTTCATAGTGCCTGCACCAATTTACACTCCCACCAGTAGTGCACAAGGGTTCCCTTTCCACCACATCCTTGCCAACAAGTGTTATTTATTGCCATCCTAACAAGTGTGAGATGATATTTCATGGTGATTTGGATTTGCATTTCCCTGATAATTAGTGCCATTGAACATCTTTTCATGTTCCTGTTGGCCATCTGTATGTTTTCTTTGGAAAGATGTCTATTTAGATACACTGCCTATGCTTTAATTGGATTGTTTGTTTGTTTTTGATATTGAGTTGTATGGATTTTTTTTTATATTTTAGAAATTAATCTCATCATAAATATGGTTTGCAAATAATTTTCTCCCATTCAGTGAGTTGCCTTTACATTTTGTCGATGGTTTCTTTTGCTGTGTAGAAGCTTTTTAGTTTTGGTAGTCTAACGTGTTCATTTTTGCTTTCATTGCCTTTGCTTTTGGTATCAAATTAAAAAAAAATGATTGCCAAGACATTAAGTCAATGAGCTATCAATATTTTCTTTTAGGAGATTTTTGGTTGCAGGTCTTACATTCAGGTATTTAATCCATTTTGAGTTAATGTTTGTGTATGGTGTAGGATAGTGGTCTAGTTTCATTCTTCTGAATGTGACTGTCTTCATCCTCTGATTTTTAAAATTTCTCTTATTGAACTATTGGGTCTCCATTGTTTGTAGTTTTTATTTCTCTGGTGAAATTCTCTGTTTTTTCGCTCTATATTTTCCTGAGTCCTCAAACAAATTTATAATATCTGCTTTATATTCTGACCTCCCTGTATATTTCAGTTGGTTTCTGATAGCCAATGTCTCATTTCATTGTGAATCATATTTTTCTATGTTTTTCTTATCTAGGAATTTTTGTTTTATAAGCAGAAAGTTGTGTATAAAGTGTTGTAGAGAGTAATTATGTTATCTTCTCCTAGAGAACGTTTGTAATTGTTTTATCAGGAGTGAATTTGTCTGGACTCAAACTCTAAAAGCTAGTTCCCTTATGGTTGGCAGCAGCTAAAATCTCTAACAGTTTGTCAGTTTTTTAAGACACTTAGGAGTCTGAGCTGTTTATAGAGCAGAGGTCAACGAAGGGTTTGGGCGATTTTAAATGCAGAATTCTGTACTTCCTCACATGACGACTCTTTTCCAGGGTTCCCTTTAATAGATTCTAGGTGCCGTGACAGTCTTGAAACCTAGGGAGTAAGACCCATGCTTTCTGCCTAAGGTCCAAACATCCCACACTGCAGAGTGAGGACTTCCTCACATGAGACATTTCATAAAGCTGAAGCTTCCACGTGAATGCTTCTTTGCTAAAGGTTGACTCTCTTCCAGTTTCTTCTTGCTTCTGACCATTTCTTTTCTCTCATTTTATCGAGTGTTTATATAATCTTATCTGCAGGAGTTTTCATCCAATACCAGCTACTCTGACAGCTCTAGAAGTAAAATTCTATTAACTTTTAATGAGATAATATTTGTTGTTTTTATTTCTTTTTGTTGTTGTTGTTAAGAAAATTTTTGTCGTTTTATCGTGTCATGGGGCTTACCAGGTGGTACAGTGGTAAAGAATCTGCCTGCCAATGCAGGAGATGTTGGAGACAGAGGTATCCCTGGGTCGGGAAAATCCCCTAGAGGAGGAGACGGCAACCCACTCCAGAATTCTTACCTGGAGAATCCTGTGGACAGAGGAGCCCAGCGGGTCACAGTCCGCTGTGTCATGAAGAGTTGGACGTGACTGAGAATGCACGCTGTAACATGAGGCATTGAAACATCTGATCAAATCACTATCTGAGTGGTGAGGTAGATGCTTTATCCTTCACTTCTTCTGGTTCTAGAGCAACTTGTCAGCAGATTTTTAAAAAGACCATCCTTTGCACTACTGAAGTCTTTCCAAGGCATGGGGTAGGTCCAACCCAAACGTCTGCCAGATGCAACTAGTCTAGCCTCCAAGCCTCACGCACACTTCCTCGGTTTCAGGGCTGTTTCCTGAGGGACTAAGCCTTGCTGTTTGCCTCTGCATTTGACTTTATGGAATGGGAGTAAAAAAGCGTCCTGACTACTGTAATTGCCTTATATGTCTTTCATTAATTACTTCACTGTAAATATAACTGTGTTCATGCTCAATTATCCTGTGTCATAGGGGCGCTTAGGCTCTGGCTATGTATTTTACTATAATTGCTTTGAATCCTCTGAACTCCATGGTTAATTTATGACTAGGTTCTGTTCACTTTATTATTTATTTACTTGTTTATTTACTTATTTACTTTGGTTCATTTTATATTAATCCTCCCTCAGCCTTCTAAGTAGTTAGATACCTTTTACTTTCCCTCATTTAGTTATCTTTTTTTTCCTCTTAGGGGAAGTGTACTCTCTTTTTTCCCAAAAGCCTAGCATCAATTTCCTTCTCCTTTTTATTTTTATCTTAGATTTTTTAAAAAAACAATTCTGGCAGACTGCCTCTGCTTAGAAGTTACGTTAATGACCCAATTTCAGCAATCCGTCCAATTTACTTTGGGATTCATGGAAGGTTTAATTAAGTAAAAGAAAATTATGATGAAAATATAACACAGAGGACATCAGAAGGAACAAGCAAATGAGGTTTTGACTAGTCTACAGATTATTCATCAACAAGTGATCCTTGAAGATACAGAAACTCAAAATATCTTGAATTAGAAATTAAAACCTGTCTACTAAATAATAATAGCAAGAAAGGAAAAGTGCTGACCTTATTCTTGCTAAAAGTTCTGCTCCTCTTTACTTCATGTGTGCACATTTTTTGAAGCGTTAACATCTGGATGACCCGTTAGTTGTTCTTTTTCTCCTCCTGTCTTTCTCTGATTCTTTTGTCATATTCCTTTGGTCACTGGATGTTCCAGTGCTAATTCTCTTTATTACCTTTCTTTATTTTAGTCCAGTCCTGAAATTTCCCACAACAGATGCTTCTCTCCTCCAGCAAAATTACCCCACGTGAACTCTTGACAGTTTTTCCATTGTCAGCCTGTATTAGGCATCTTCCTGTCCTGGAGGATGTCCTCCAGACAGCTGGAGCCTGTCTGCAGGAGGTCAGAAACTCCATGACTGGGCGAGAGGTGAAGATCCACACTGAAGGCACAATATCTGTTCGTTCTCAACAGTTCGTTCTCAATCTTAGCTGATGGAGCAAAATGAACATCAGTAGCAGGATTCTGAACAGGATCACATGCTTGGCCCACGCAGAAGAATGAGATTTGGTGCACACAGTGCTGAGCCCAGGAGTGTGTGTAGATCAGAGGACACTCGGCAGGCCGTGAGGTTTCGTGGGCAGCAGGAACGGGCCGGGGCGCAGCCGCAGCGCAGCAGGAGGCGATGAGGACTCCAGACTGTGCTGCTGCTGGGTCGGCGGCGGCTGCCACAGCGAGAAATGCTTGCTCACGCGGCTTGTCCTGCGTCGGACAACGAGAGGGCTCCTCTCGGCGGTCAGTTTCTCTAATAAAGAGCAGAAGAACTTGCGCTAGACTTCTGTACTGACTTTTCAGGAACTCCTGCAAGCCTCCAGGTGCTAACCTATAAATATTTTTGAAAACAAGAGTTCAGAGTCTCTTTCTTATTGGTTCTTTTAATCTATTCACACCAATATCATCCAAATAAATAAAGCAGAACTTCAGTGATAAAGCATGCTCTTGATGGTAACAGTCTAAAATTTAACTTTATTTTGCATCTTTATATGGTTTTGCATGGAAAGTTCTAGAGGGTTGCCATGATTGAGCAAAATCTTGTCTCTCTGCAATGTTTGATTTATACAGATTCTTTTCCATAACAATTATATGATTTTTAAAAATTAAACTGCCTTCTTGGCCAAGATGATAGCAATCTTTTTTAGTCCATCTTATAATTTGTCTCTAAAATGCCTGTCTTCATAATATGCTGATCATTAGAGTAATGCATATTAGATGAAAACGGGTAATAAATAACATTTCAAAGTCTATTTCTAGGCACTGATTGATGTACTATTGTTTTGTCCGCTGTGTTTAACGGCCGTGTCTTACATTTTCTAGTTTTTAGCAGCACCCGCTGAGGAGTGAATGAGAACTGACCTGTTTTGAAATCCTCTTCCAGAAATAAAATTCTCCTCCTGTTACTTTTGTGGCTGGGCAGGGAATTTGGCACACATACTGCCATTCATTTGCAAATGCAAAGTCACCACTTGACAGCCTATTCACTCCAAGGAGGACACAGTCTATCAAACAAGATCAAGGGTACTTTTTATAGACTCACAAACATCTCTCTTTATGTACATACATAAAAGGAGCTGATAAGAATAGAATCTCCCTCACTGGGAAAAGTCCCCTAAGTACAAATACCCAGTTCTATGAAATGTATTGATCATAAAGGGGACGTGCTCTAGCAAAAGGGTCACTAAGCGCCTTGGGTTGGATTGATCCACACCGTGCATGCGGCTGGGTACCACTGGGGAGGTCTCTTGTGCACTCTTTAGGGATGAACCAGTTCAGAAGAATCTTTTTTTTTTTTTTCCATTTATTTTTATTAGTTGGAGGCTAATTACTTTACATCATTGCAGTGGTTTTTGTCATACATTGAAATGAATTTGCCATGGATTTACATGTATTCCCCATCCCGATCCCCCCTCCCACCTCCCTTTCCACCCGATCCCTCTGGGTCTTCCCAGTGCGCCAGGCCCGAGCACTTGTCTCATGCACCCAACCTGGGCTGGTGATCTGTTTCACCCTAGATAATATACACGTTTCGATGCTGTTCTCTTGAAACATCCCAACCTCACCTTCTCGCAGAGTCCACAAGTCTGTTCTATACATCTGAGTCTCTTTTTCTGTTTTGCATATAGGGTTATCATTACCATCTTTCTAAATTCCATATATATGTGTTAGTATACTGTAATGGTCTTTATCTTTCTGGCTTACTTTGCTCTGTATAATGGGCTCCAGTTTCATCCATCTCATTAGAACTGATTCAAATGTATTCTTTTTAATGGCTGAGTAATATTCCATGGTGTATATGTACCACAGCTTCCTCATCCATTCGTCTGCTGATGGGCATCTAGGTTGCTTCCATGTCCTGGCTATTATAAACAGTGCTGCGATGAACATTGGGGTGCACGTGTCTCTTTCAGATCTGGTTTCCTTGGTGTGTATGCCCAGAAGTGGTATTGCTGGGTCATATGGCAGTTCTATTTCCAGCTTTTTAAGAAATCTCCACACTGTTTTCCATAGTGGCTGTACTAATTTGCATTCCCACCAACAGTGTAAGAGGGTTCCCTTTTCTCCACACCCTCTCCAGCAATTTATCGCTTGTAGACTTTTGGATAGCAGCCATCCTGACTGGTGTGTAATGGTACCTCATTGTGGTTTTGATTTGCATTTCTCTGATAATGAGTGATGTTGAGCATCTTTTCATGTGTTCGTTAGCCATCTGTATGTCTTCCTTGGAGAAATGTCTGTTTAGTTCTTTGGCCCATTTTTTGATTGGGTCATTTATTTTTCTGGAGTTGAGCTGGAGGAGTTGCTAGATCTTAACAAACCCATCACAAGCAAGGAAATCGAAACTGTAATCAGAAATCTTCCAGCAAACAAAAGCCCAGGACCAGATGGCTTCACAGCTGAATTCTACCAAAAATTTAGAGAAGAGCTAACACCTATCTTACTCAAACTCTTCCAGAAAATTGCAGAAGAAGGTAAACTTCCAAACTCATTCTATGAGGCCACCATCACCCTAATTCCAAAACCAGACAAAGATGCCACAAAAAAAGAAAACTACAGGCCAATATCACTGATGAACATAGATGCAAAAATCCTTAACAAAATTCTAGCAAACAGAATCCAACAACATATTAAAAAAATCATACATCATGACCAAGTGGGCTTTATCCCAGGAATGCAAGGATTCTTTAATATCCGCAAATCAATCAATGTAATACACCACATTAACAAATTGAAAGATAAAAACCATATGATTATCTCAATAGATGCAGAAAAAGCCTTTGACAAAATTCAACATCCATTTATGATTAAAACTCTCCAGAAAGCAGGAATAGAAGGAACATACCTCAACATAATAAAAGCTATATATGACAAACCCACAGCAAGCATCACCCTCAATGGTGAAAAATTGAAAGCATTTCCCCTGAAATCAGGAACAAGACAAGGGTGCCCACTCTCACCACTACTATTCAACATAGTTTTGGAAGTGTTGGCCACAGCAATCAGGGCAGAAAAAGAAGTAAAAGGAATCCAGATAGGAAAAGAAGAAGTGAAACTCTCTCTGTTTGCAGATGACATGATCCTCTACATAGAAAACCCTAAAGACTCTACCAGAAAATTACTAGAGCTAATCAATGAATACAGTAAAGTTGCAGGATATAAAATTAACACACAGAAATCTCTTGCATTCCTATACACTAACAATGAGAAAACAGAAAGAGAAATTAAGGAAACAATACCATTCACCATTGCAACAAAAAGAATAAAATACTTAGGAGTATATCTACCTAAAGAAACAAAAGACCTATACATAGAAAACTATAAAACACTGATGAAAGAAATCAAAGAGGACACAAACAGATGGAGAAATATACCGTGTTCATGGATTGGAAGAATCAATATTGTCAAAATGGCTATACTACCCAAAGCAATCTACAGATTCAATGCAATCCCTATCAAACTACCAACAGTATTTTTCACAGAACTAGAACAAATAATTTCACAATTTGTATGGAAATACAAAAAACCTCGAATAGCCAAAGTAATCCTGAGAAAGAAGAATGGAACTGGAGGAATCAATCTGCCTGACTTCAGACTATACTACAAAGCCACAGTCATCAAGACAGTATGGTACTGGCACAAAGACAGAAATATAGATCAATGGAACAGAATAGAAAGCCCAGAGATAAATCCATGAACCTATGGTCACCTTATCTTCGACAAAGGACGCAAGGATATACAATGGAAAAAAGACAACCTCTTTAACAAGTGGTGCTGGGAAAACTCGTCAACCACCTGTAAAAGAATGAAACTAGAACACTTTCTAACACCATACACAAAAATAAACTCAAAATGGATTAAAGATCTAAATGTAAGACCAGAAACTATAAAACTCCTAGAGGAGAACATAGGCAAAACACTCTCCGACATAAATCACAGCAGGATCCTCTATGACCCACATCCCAGAATTTTAGAAATAAAAGCAAAAATAAACAAATGGGACCTAATGAAACTTAAAAGCTTTTGCACAACAAAGGAAACTATAAGCAAGGTGAAAAGACAGCCCTCAGATTGGGAGAAAATAATAGCAAACAGAAGAATCTTTAATGAGCACTTTACCCATCCTCACATCTCTTGCAGAGAGCCACTTGGCTGTTCGCCCAGGGATGTTACCGCAGGAGAGGAGACAGCTCTGCTCGGGCCTCCGCCTGCCCGAGCTGGGGCAGCGCATGGAGCCCAAGCGCCGCCCGGAGGCGGGCCCTGCGCACCCCCGGCCGGCTCCCACCGGGCCCCGGCGGCCGGGCAGCGCGACAACCAGTGAGGTACTTGTCAGCGAACTGGAAACATGCAGTCCTAGCAGTGGTCTGACCCAGCTTTCAATGTTTTCTTTTTAGCGCCAACTATTCACTCTTTCCTTGTAGGAGCAGTCTGTGAGTTCAAGCATTGTAAGTGGTTGGGTTCACCTGTTTCTCCTTTTCCTGCTGACTTCTCTTTTTATTTTTTTGAAACTTCAGTTCAGTTCAGTCGCTCAGTCGTGTCCGACTCTTTGTGACCCCATGAATCGCAGCATGCCAGGCCTCCATGTCCATCACCAACTCCCAGTGTTTATTCAAACCCATGCCCATCCAGTCGGTGATGCCATCCAGCCATCTCATCCTCTGTTGTCCCCTTCTCCTCCTGCCCCCCAATCCCTCCCAGCATCAGGGTCTTTTCCAATAAGTCAACTCTTAGCATGAGGTGGCCAAAGTACTGGAGTTTCAGCCTCAGCATCAGTCCTTGCAATGAACACCCAGGACTGATCTCCATTAGGATGGACTGGTTGGATTTCCTCGCAGTCCAGGGGACTCTCAATATATGTCAAATAAAGCACCATTGAGACTGATTTTCAGAAAAGAAGAATAAAAAGGATAGAAGAGGGAGAGAGCCAAAGCTCGTGGAAATAGATAACAAGAACGATATATAAATTAAATCTGAGAAGTGGTCACCTACATACTGGATTTAACTGGATCATCTCAGCATTGCTTCCAATTCTAAAATATCTGAAAATTGCCAAAAATATTCTCCTTTAGTTGGCTGCCAACCATGAGACAGGCAGGTAAACTTTTTTATTTTTCTTTTGGGGAAGATGTCTACTTTCTTAAATCTTATTTAATCCCTGTATTAGGTAAAGAATGTACTTTGATGAATAAGATGTTGGATATTATTATTCTGGGATCCTTCCACAAAATTGTTTCCAAACATGAGCAATAATGTCCTTTGGTCTCTCTTTAGCCATTAACTATTCTCTTTTTGCTTCTTTGGCCTGCAAACCACTAGAGATATCATAGATTCCAAGGGCACTTTTCCTTTCAGTCATCCTAATACAATGTTTGAAACAGTCAAGTTCACTCTTCATTTGTTAGTATTCATTTATTTGCTAGCTTTTCTCAACCACAGTCAATTTCCATTATTCAACTAATCCCTCAATCAATCAGATTAAAAATTATATCTTTACTACTAATACATGTCCAATATTAGGAGCTATAATGAAACTCAGAAAAATCTAACACTGTTCTGGTTTTTAATGGGCATAGTAACACAGTTGACTCTAACCCAGCCAGAGAGTTGATGCTCTGTAAATCCTGAGTGTTATTCTAGAAATTCACAACCATCAGACCCTATGCACATCCCTAAAGTGCACACTATGAGGATTAAGAAAGTGACTGAAAAGCTAAGCATTTGGGCTTGGTAGCTGAAACATGCCCCTTAGTATTTAATTTACATTTTAATTTATGTTCATTGGTCATCAATGGTGGCTCAGCGGTAATCAATCCATTTTGGTGCAGGAGACCCGTGTTCTACCCTCTGGTCAGGAAGATCCCCTGGAGGAGGAAATGGCAACCCACTCCAGTATTCTTGCCTGGAGAATCCCATGAACAGAGGAACTTGGAGAGCTCCAGTCCATGGGGTTGCAAAGAATTGGACAAGACTGAACGACTAACACTTTCAATGTGTACTTATAAATGGCAGTAAAGATGCAGACTGGGCATTTATTAAAATGGACATTTAGCTTAAATAATGTGAAATTTAAGAAACTGTTAATTAAATTACTGCAGAAAAGAAGATAGAGATTTTATAAAAGTTGGACATCGTCTTTTCTTTTAAATTATAAATTGAAAAAAAAAATTATACCTTAAAGCCTGAATCACTGAAATGTGAGGCTGAAAGTAGTTAGTTATCTCCAAGGCATAGGACACACCATTTTGACTGAAGAGATTTTGGTGAAACAACCTAATTCAATTCCTGAATAATTCTTTCAAGTGTATGAGATGCCATTATAATTTACTACTGCTTTGTTACTATTAAGTTAGAAATACCACTAAAAAAATAGCAATTATACTTGCTTACATATGTAGCATATATACATACAATATACCAATAGCTCTCTCTATATATCCATATACATAGCATATATATATATATATATATATATATATATAATTTTATCTAACAAATCTCATGGGGTGGTCCATAGAAGTTGCCCCATAGAATAAGGCAATAACTTTAAAACACAAAAGAAATCTTTGTCATGCTGTCAATCTTGAACACTGATTTGAGCTGATGCTTCCTTTCTATCCTAATAAAGCTTATTTTTTATTGTTGTTACACTTTAAGCATTATTGTTACTTCTGCTGAGATCTTGAGAGAAGTATTGCTTTTCATTACCTTTTGTCTTTAGATCTTGGGATCTGACTTACCTTGAGTGAACTATGAAATTTGAATATGAAACATGAACATATGGTATATTCATGTGTATAAAAATTGCCATCTTTCTGATCAGAAAGTACATGTCTCAGGACTGTGGTACTACATACAATGATTAAATGAGCTAGGATAAGCCATGGGGGTGGGGGGGCGGGAAGAACAGAATAGCATCCAACTTGTAATCATTGTCTAGGATAGGAGCTGTTTTAAGTGGTAAAAAATTACTGGCAATGCTTTCTAGAGCCGTTAGGTGCTTGCTGCACCCTGGAGTGCTGTGAGTCTTAAAAGCAGAGTGGGGACAAACACGCCCTGGGGTGTCATATGCCATGAGGCACAGATGTGTTCACCCATATTATGATAACCATTGCTTAAAGAAATCCTGTTTTTAGTAAAAGAAGATGAAGAAGGAAAAATGCATTTTCCTATTCAATAAAGATCTAGTAATATAATCTCTCAGTTTTAGAGCATGTGGAGCAACTGGACTGGGGAATTTTTTACATAGATATATCATCCCCCTTAGAAGTTCCTTTCAAAATTGCAAAGGTTACTCTTAAAGTGAAGTTTTAAGACCTGACTGTATATTAGGTACAATGAGTGAATAAAGGGAACCAAACTTCAGTGTTTAGGGCTTTAAATAATGATCCCAGTGATAACTATTGCCAGACCTCAGTTATTTTCCACTATGAAGAAAGTAACAGAGTTGCAATGTATTTTTCTCAATATGGACTGGATGCAGGCTACGATTTTTTTTTTTTTTTTTGCTTTCATGTTTTTTTTTTTTAATTTATTTATTTATTTATTTTTATCACAACCATAGTGTATCTTTTTTTTTTTTTTTTTTTTTACATGTATTCCCCATCCCGGTCCCCCCTCCCACCTCCCTCTCCACCCAATCCCTCTGGGTCTTCCCAGTGCACCAGGCCCGAGCACTTGTCTCATGCACCCAACCTGGGCTGGTGAACTGTTTCACCCTAGATAATATACGTGTTTCAATGCTGTTCTCTTGAAACATCCCACCCTCGCCTTCTCCCAGAGTCCACAAGTCTGTTCTATACATAGGAGTCTCTTTTTCTGTTTTGCACATAGGGTTATCGTTACCATCTTTCTAAATTCCATATATATGTGTTAGTATACTGTAATGGCTACGATTTTAAAACAAAACTGAAACACAGAGATCCAGAGGGCATTAGACTTTCACTGAAGTATGTTATTCAGATCAAAAGTATTAACCTGTTTGATTCTTATTATTTTAAATAAGAAAACCTGCTACTATTACAAGCAACAAATAAGGTGGGTCAAAATAAGGGAGACTCAGGTGACAGTGGAAGGACTGATGTTGAAGCTGAAACTCCAATACTTTGGCCACCTGATGTGAAGAGCTGACTCATTGGAAAAGATCCTGATGTTGGGAAATATTGAAGGCAGGAGGAGAAGGGGACGACAAAGGATGAGATGGTTGGATGGCATCACCGACTCAATGAACATGAGTTTAGATAAACTCTGGGAGTTGGTGATGGACAGGGAGGCCTGGCGTGCTGCGGTTCATGGGGTCGCAGAGAGTCAGACACGGCTGAGCGACTGAACTGAACTGAACAGGTGATAGTGGTTCTTAATTCTGATCAGTTCTTGAATGTTCTGGTGTTGGAGTAGGTTTCTTCACATAGTGTGTGCTGGGATTTTTTCTCCTTACTTTATCTCCTTTTCCCTCTGGGTTTTACTTCCTGAGCAATGTGATATTTGTACAGATAACAGTAACTTTAGCAAATGTGACCATAGATTTTTGTTAAGGGAAATGAGGCTGGTTTCAACTTAAAAAGGTGCGTAGAGGACCTGGGAGGACTAAAGAAGGGGATAGCAATGGAATAACTACAACATAAGAGGGGAGAAGGTTCCCAAATAAATAGAAAGTTCATACTTGTCTCCCTAATGTACTTAGATAGAAGTATGTTATCTGAGACTAATGTAGCAATGGCCAATGGCCAAAAAATTCTAGAGCAGGATGCTTAAACTATGCCCATGAATCCCCCTGGAACTATATTACGTTTTGTTGTTTTTGCTCTTGAGTTGTTGTTTCCTCATTATTCTAGAATTAGTTCTACGGGTTTGTTATAGTCTAAAGAGTCTGTGACCCTAAAGTGGTTAAAAACCAGAAGAACCCTAAGACACAAAGTTTCTGTTGTTTTCTAGGAAAGCACTGTGGAAATTGAAGCTAATTCAAGGTAGATCGGAGAAGAGAATTTGGTTGATATTTGAATGGTTCATTCTGTGGATCCAGGGTGTACTGCAGTCTCATTTGGTCAAATTCAGAGTAGCTGACGTACCACCAGACTTGATCAAATTGAGGGTTTATACACTCAAGTTTGCTAAAGTATTAATTTTAAAGGAAGTTTCAGCATCTCTTGGAGACAATTTAGATCTCCAGCATAGATGTAAATCTCAAAAAGATTCTTACTGGTAGGTGTCAGGTGTGTTTCATTTCAGCAGGATGGGACTGAATATGCAGACACAGATCCTGAGATCAAAGGATGTGATTATAATGTTGAAGAGCATTTTCAGGTCTTCCGGAAGTCTCAAATGAAAACAAAGGAGCTTC